TTCTCTTCCAAGACGTCAGCGCCCACAAATGCAAATGGCATGATTGACGCGCAAACGCTCTTCAGGGGGCCGAATCCTGGCGAGTTGAAAGGCCCGTATATTTCCCAGTTCCTTGTAAAGTCGTACCGATATGGCAACCTGGAGATCGACCAGAAGCATCTTTCTCATCCAGCAGAAGAACTTTGCATTCTTTGGGCTTCCTCATGCTAGGATAAAGTCCAAGTTTTTTCTACATTGTTGTGGAAGAGGTATGTGGTGGAGGAGGATCCGAACAACATGCTTACCCTGGCTGGCTGGTGGCGAGTGCAGAACGGCGAGGTCCCAACGGGCATCGTGACAAACGGAAACTTTGTTGTTAGCGAGCCGAAGAACTTTACATCTTTTTTTCGGGCGTCGTCATTCGTTTTTGGGTGCAAAAAGTTTAAGTGCTTGCTTTCTCTGTGGTTGTTGGTGAAGAGAGGAAAAGCATTTGCATCAAATGGACGCGTGCTTGGATCCATGGTGCACAAGGACCCGCTCTACCAGTTCTACTATGCTGCCGCCTTGATTGCTTTCCAGCAAGGAATTGGCCACGATGGCATGCAGCTAAAATACACTACGGAATGGACGACAACAGGACCACCGGATGTCTTCGCGGCGGTAGCGCACGTAGCGCTTGGCGCTCTGCGCACCGCCTGGTGGCAAAAATGGGGTCTTTACATGCGCATCCGTCCGGAGGTCTTTGCTCAGCGGCATCTGGGTCAGCGCTCAGGACCCTGTCTTTTGAATAGTGGGGGGTTGGTACGGAATTAGCTCATTTGTTATTTAGGGTTTGCATAGGGATGATGTTCCCTTTCTCCCCACTAAGAACCAATAGGATTTGTGTGGATCTTGTTGGAGTATGGGTTTCCTTACATAACTACAAGTAGGATCCTTTTCCCTTGGTAGCTTCCGGGGGAGGTGGACGGCATGAACCAGGCAGGCTTCCTCCTCCCAGGGTTCTTGGCCCTATCGAGTAGGCCCTAAACCCCAAATAGTCAACGCGAATCCCTATATCCTAATGCTTCAGCCCTCAGCACTGATCTCTAAACCCTACAGCCTAAACCCTATATCCTGAAGTCTATACGCCCACCGTCATCCCTAAACCCTACACACTCATCTCTAGACCCAAATCAATAAGCCCAATATTCGAAAGCCTAAGCCCTAAACCTCATACTCTACTCGTGACTACTTGGATGACCAAGCGGATCTAGTGAGTATACGAATAACCCTGATAAGCCGCCTAACTGTCAACGCTATCGCGCACCCGCCTCGGCTTCTGGGTGTGCAGAAAGAGAAGCCCCAGCCTCGGCCGCCCACCACTGGAGGGACGGGATCGTGGCACTTGTGGGTGGTCAGGTGTTTAGCTTAAGGGTACTTGGAGACGATTTTGACTTTTTGCTTGTTGCAGCCTTGAGAAACGACAAAAAATATGATCTTTACTGGGTTCCAAGTTCAGCATAGTAAGAGGGTTCCAAATGCGCTTAGGCTGAACCAGCCTCGGCGAGTAAGTCGCTCTGACACTGCAAGTAAGGGGTTCTACCCTTATATATCCCAATTTAACATCAGTTTCCATCTTGTTTCTCCATCCTCTTTTCCATCCGATTCTCCATGGTTGGGCTAGTATCCTTAATTACTAACTTATCCCTAATTCCTAAACCCTAAGCCCCTAATCCACTTCCTATACAACTCAGTCTGAACTCCTTTAAGGGGGTTATATAGGGGATTGTTTAGGGAACAATTCCAGGGCTTATTGGGGGATACTAGGAGTTTAGGCTATAGCTGTAAACCCTGAACATTAAACCCTAAAGCATAAACCCTAAACCCTTAAAGGTTACCGTCAAGGCTGTAGGTGTAGTACTCAGGCTCCATGGCCCATATGAGTAGCACCTAGTAAGATTATATTCCTTCCATAAAATAGTATACCCCACGGGGAGGATAGAATCTTACTCTATAATAGGTACCATAGAATCCCCAAATAGAATACCACTCATATGATCCCTCTATAATGGGTACCATCCTATCCCAGATAAAGTACTACTCATATGATCCCTAGACAGACTGAGGTATGAGCTGGCGCGAATCCATCCTCAAATCGAGCCCTTTTTGAAGTTAGTCACGTTTCGTAGCGCATAGGTTAAAGGTTTTGGGATGAGCGTTTAGGGGCTTCGGGTTAAACCCTAAGCCCCTAGACCCTAAACCCTGAGCTCTGAACCCTACGCCCGAAGCCCTAAACCCTAAGCCCTAAACCGCGTTGGGGGGAGGTAGGGGAAACCGCGAAGTACTGGTTCCTCAAGCCCCTATAGAATCCACGTTTCCAAATCATTTTCCATTTTCTTTTCCTTTTGATTCTCCATTATGAGGGGGTAATATCTGCTAAACCCTAAACCCTCTAAACCCTGAACCCCAAACCCTAACCCTCTAAACCCTGAACCCCAAACCCTAACCCTTAAAACCCTTAAAACCCTTAAAACCCTTAAAACCCTTAAAACCCTTAAAACCCTTTAAACCCTGAAAACCCTAAACCCTATGAACCTTTAAAACCCTTTAAACCCTAAACCCTTTAAACCCTTAAAACCCTTTAAACCCTATAAACCCTTAAAAGCCTTTGAACCCTAAACCCTAAACCCTTAAAACGCTTAAAACCCTTAAAACCCTAAACCCTAAACTCTAAACCCTTAAAACCCTAAACCCTAAACAGTAAGGTGTCAGAAGTTCCAGGGCTGGCCGGCCTGAAGGCTAACCTCGAGAAGGCCGACAAGCTGATTCTGGGTAGAGTTTAGGGTTTAGGGTTTAGGGTTTAGAGTTTAGAGTTTAGGGTTTAGGGTTAAGAGTCTAGGGTTTAGGGTCTAGAGTTTAGGGTTTGAGGGTTTAGAGTTTAGGGTTTAGGGCTTAGGGTTTAGTGGGGGTTTAGTGTTTAGGGGGTTAGGGTTTACGGGGTTTAGGGTTCAAGGGGTTTAGGGTTTAGGGGGTTTAGGCTTAAGGGGGTTCAGGGTTCAGGATTTAGGGTTTGGTGTTCAGGGCTTTTAGGGTGTAGGGTTGGGGGTTTTCGGGTTGGGGGTTCAGGGTTTAGGTTTACGGGTTTTCTGCGAATTAACATGCGAGCAGTGATGATTGGATTAGAACGATCTTCCAAGTGTATGATTGCATGCGAAGTGCTGCCACGGCCCGACTGCGGCTGGCCTTTTCATAGATTCACCCACCCCACTCCGCCTGAGGTGGCCACGCCGCCCTAACTTATTCATTCCTATTGGGGTGTAGGACCTAAACTCATCTAGGTGCATCGTTGCCAACACAACAACTCAATTACTTCTGCGTGGTCTCAAGACATCCCTTGCCATTGTTTGGATTGGTCATCCTGGAAGGTGCTTGGGAGGCTGCGAGGGAACTACATATTGAAAGGCCCCCAAGTTGTGGAGGCGCTTGGGAGGATATTTGGGCGAATGCTCGCAAAGAAGGCTCGGGGGTCTAGGACCCCCAAAACAGCCTTGGGAAATATCAGCCATACACGTGCAAGGAGAACCGGCTCCAGTACCGAGGCCATCGTAGGTGCTCCCGGCCCCATGGCTGTGCTGAGGCGGGGCCAGCTTGGTCCACTTGCGTCATCAATTTCGATTGGCTTAGCCGCCATTTTCTTAACCGCCCCACCATCTTGGGTGGGCGGCCTATGCCTTGACTGAGTTTAACGTTTAGTGTTTAGAGCGATTAGCTTTGCTCAGTGTTCGGGTCGCAGGGTGGTTAGGGGTTTAGAATGCAGGGCTTAG